CCTGGCTAGAAACATTCTATTGATTTGTTTTGAGACAGAGTCTCAAAGTTGTTCATAATACAATGCTCAACTACTGCCTTCTCCTTTGGGGGCAAGATGGTCCTGTATCTAGAAATACTGAAGAAATGGGGAACGGTTCTTTTTTTTTTTTTTTTTTTTGGTTTTTCGAGACAGGGTTTCTCTGTGGCTTTGGAGGCTGTCCTGGAACTCGCTCTGTAGACCAGGCTGGCCTCGAACTCACAGAGATCCGCCTGCTTCTGCCTCCGGAGTGCTGGGATTAAAGGCGTGCGCCACCAACACCCGGCTGTTGGGGAGTGGTTCTTTACACCCGTGATCAGCAATTAGGGCAGAGGGGGATGCTGAGCCAGATGGGTCTATGCAACAAGTTCCAGGCCAGCGAGGGTTACTGGTGGCCCACAATTTAAAACCCAACATCCAGGAGGCAGAGGTACACACATCTATGTGTGTACAAGCCAGCCTGGTCTACAATCCAGTTCCAGGATCCAGATCTACAAAGAGAGACCCTATCTCAACAACAGAAGGTCAAAACAAGCCATCATCCCTTTGTTCAAATTCCTAATCTTTCATTCCCTGAGTTAAAAAGTTTACCTGCCAGTCATGGTGGCATGTACCTGGACTCTCAGAACTGGGGAGGTTGAGGAAGGAGGCTTGTCAGTTTGAAGTCAGTTTAGTCTAGTAGGCTCTAGGCCAACCTGGACTATATAGCAAGACCTGGTTCTTTTTTTGGGGGTGGCGTTTTAAGAGAGAGTTTCTCTGTGGCTTTGGAGGCTGTCCTGGAACTAGCTGTTGCAGATCAGGCTGGTCTGGAAATCACAGAGATCTGCCTGCCTCTGCCTCCCAAGTGCTGGGACTAAAGGTGTGCACCGCTACCACCTGGCCCAAGACCTGTTTCAAAACAACAACAGCAAACCCAAAGTATAGGGTTTGGGACACAGCTCAGTGCTAGGGCACTTACCTAGCATGCTCAAGATTCTGGTTCAAATACTAGAGAGATGGTTCAGTGGTCAAGAACGCATGCTACTCTTTTAGAAGGTCAGTTTGATTGCTAGCACACAAGCCAAGTAGCTCATAAATGCCTGTAATTACAGTTCCAGGGGACCCAAGGGACACCTCCACTGTCTTTGAAAACACCCGCATGTATGTGGCATACTGACAGAGACAATTATACATACACAAGATCAAAAATAAAATAAAAATCTTTTAAAAAGCCTTACCAGGTGAGGTGGCATGCACCCATAATTTCCTTCACTAGGAGGCAGAGGCAGTTGGATTTCTGTGAGTTCCATGCCAACCTTATCTAATGTGTGAGTTCCTGGACAGCCAGAAACTATATAGTAAGGTACCGTCTTGAAAAAAAATTGTTTTTCCTCATTCAATCTCCAGTACTGCAGGTGAAAAACCAGCAGGGAATCAGAGGTGTATCTCAATTAATAGCGCACTTACCTAACATGCAAGAAGCCCTGGATTCTGCTGGGCGTTGGTGGCCCACACCTTTAATCCCAGAACTTGGCAGGCAGAGGCAGAGGCAGGCGGATCTCTGTGAGTTCAAAGCCAGCCTGGTCTACAGAGTGAGTTCCAGGACAGGCTCGATTGCTACAGAGAAACCCTGTCTAGAAAAGAAAAAGTCCTGGTTCCACTCCCAATAATATATAATCTGGGTACAAAAGTGAATACCTATAATACCAGCATTTGGGAGGCAGAAGCAGAAGATCAGAAGTTCAAGGTCAATCTTGGATACATGTAGAATTGGAGGTCAACTGGGCTAGTGAGACCTTGTTGCAACAAATCAAAACTGAACAAAATGGGAGCTGAAGCACTCTGACACTCCCTTTACAGGCGCCCACAGGGCAGCTCATAACCATCTAAGAAATCCCAGGCCCAGGGATCCTCTGTGGGGAATGGGCATGAACAAGCTACAAGGAACATGCAGGTACATCCGTACACATGAAATAATATTTAAAAATTTAAAAGTGAAACACTCCCACATATGCATACATGCACATGAACATACACAAAATGAAATAACCGATGCTGCATATCTCTGTGATCTCAGCATTTTGGAAGCTGAGATAAGAGATCAAGGCCATCCTGGCCTACACTATGAATACATTGCGAATTGCAGACCAGTTTGGTCTATGGAGCAAGACTTTGTTTTAAAAGGGGGTATGTATATGTATGAAAAGGTTAATACTGCAACTAAAGTGAAAGTATTCTATGACTTTAATCCTATAATTTGTGTACTCCTCAAAAAGCTCAGAGCCAGAAGTTCAAATTAGAATGCTGAGGCATCAATAAAGATAGAGTGCTTGCCCTTACTTTGATTTCTAACAATACATACATGAATAGCTTGGTGTAGTGGCTGCCTGTAATTCCTGCACTGGTAGAATAAGGTAGGAGGATTATAAATTTAAGATTATCCAGGGCTACATAGCATCACAGTCTCAACAAAACCAGCCAAACAAAAAATGCTCATTCTATCCCAATTCAGTGGCAAACAATCGCATCACTCCAGAGGCAGAGGTGGGTAGATCTCTGAGAGTTTGAGACCCTATTTCAAAAGAACAAAAACAGGCCGGGCGTTGGTGGCACACGCCTTTAATCCCAGCACTCGGGAGGCAGAGGCAGGCGGATCTCTGTGAGTTCGAGACCAGCCTGGTCTACAGAGCTAGTTCCAGGACAGCCTCCAAAGCCAAAAAAGAACAAAAACAAACAAACAAAATACAAGGTCATTTCCAGGCAATGGAAGATGGAAGACATTGTGTCAAAACTGATACCATTTTTTAGGGGACACTTTGACATTACCTGGCAAAACAAATATGCATGGCCTTTGACACTATAATTCCACATTTAGAACTTTAACCTCAAGATAGTCCATATTTGTGCCAGAAGATGAGTGTATGGGATTACTAGCTGCAGCCTTGTTTGTCACAGCAAAAACAGGAATTAGCTTAATTATTCACTGTGCAGAAACCGTTGAATCATTCATGGCATTGAAAAGATGGGAAAGAGCTGGGCAGTGGTGGCAGCAGCAATGGGGAGGCAGAGGCAGGCGATCTCTGTGAGTTCGAGACCAGCCTGGTCTACAAGAGCAGGTTCCAGGACAGCCTCCAAAGCCACAGAAAACCCGTCTTGAACCCCCCCCAAAAAAAAAGAAAGGAGAAAAAGGGGAAAAAAAAGATGCGAAAGAGCTGTCCCAGTGGTCCATACCCAGAATCCCAGCACTAGGAGGTGGGGTAGGAAGATCAAAAGTTCAAGGCCAGCCTCAGTGCCATAGTGGGTTTAAGGCATGTCGGGGCTGCATGAGACCATCTTAAAGGGGCATGTGTGTGCTACAGACTTCTATGGACTAGACACACAATTGCTTCTGGATAAGAAAATGGATGGGAGAAAGGCAGATGTAGGGGAGTTTTACTTTGACTATTCTTTTGCCATTGTTAAATTGTTAACCATGATCAAATATAGTTTTATTTAATTTTTTAATTTCAAGCTAGCTTCAAACTTGTGTGGTAATCTTGCTTCAGTCCCCTGAGTCTTGGGGTTCAAGGCATGTACCACCTTATTTGGAAAATACTAATTTTGTTTTGCTTTTTTTTTTCTTGAGACAGGGTCTCAGTATGTAGCTCTGGCTGGTCTGGGACTCTATGTATATCAAGCTGGCCTTGAGCTCACAGAGATCTGTCTGCCTCTGGCTACTCAGTGCTAGCATTAAAGGTTTGTGCCACCACCCCCAGCCACAATAAAAAAATAAAAAATAAAAAAAAGGACTGTTTTGCCAAAGGGCATATACTTGTAATCCCAGCCAGCACTAAAGACATAAATAGGAAAATCTTGAGTTCAAGGTCAGGCTGTGCAAGGTCAGACCCTGTATGTAAAAAAGACACTGTTAACTATTTAATAGCATACCGTAGCACTAGGGAGGCAGAGGCAGACCACGGCCAGTTCTAGCCAGCCATCGCTATAGATCAATAATATCCTGTCTCAAAAACAAAAAACCAACTCAGTGAAGCCCTCTGATTCCTTACTTGAGCTGCGCCAAGTGTCCCCGGATCCAAACAAGCAAAAAACCTGGAGTAGAATGAGATTGGCGGGGTGGGAGTTCCTGCAATAGTTACTCATGGGACTGTAAGAATTCGATAAAGCATTGCACAAAAAGTCTTCCATACCTATTGGATACTACTGGTACTCAGTTTATTTCCAAATCCATATCTGTGGTGTAGGATTGACTCTAACCATCGAAGGTAATGAAAACTTAGGGACTGTGTCAGCTGTGCTCTGAATATTTGTTTTTGTATATCGAGATAGCATCTTCTGTCTCCAGCTGACATTTGAATTTACTCTGTAGCTGAGGATGCATTCCTAATATTCCTGCAGCCTCCCTCCCAAGTGCTGGGATTTCAGGCCCATGCCATCCTGGCAGTTCTCCTCTAATGGGCTGCTGGCTGTTTTTCCTGGAGACAGTTTCTTGGTGTAGACCAGGCTGGTGCCTCTGCCCCTGGAGTGCTGGGATTAAAGCTGGTGTCACCACTGCCAGGCGGCTGCTAATCAGCAAAGCTGACCCGGCACTGGGGAGCCACGTGCTTGACTCTCATAGACTGAACTGAAGATTAAGTGTGCAAGGAGATACAACCAAAAAGAAAAACTGAGCGTGGCAGACTAAGGGCGCCAAATTAAAGAAATTAGCACGGATTACAGTCTATATGCGTGGTTAAACTAGTAACAGGAATTTCATTTCAGCGTTTTAATTTTTAGGATGGACTTCTTGTTGAAGCCGACTGGAGAGTTAAATCCTTAAGGCAGCTTACCCCAAAACTTAACTATACACCGTTTCCAGGGCCCCGAGACCACAACGCGCCCAAACTGCTCGCCCTACACACACTAGTGGCAACCTATGCGCGGGTTATTCTCGTCCCCAGCGGCCGTGCCCAAACCCAGGCCTCCACAATGGACCCCAGGCCCAGGGCCTACGATCAGGCACCTACGTGCGCGCTCTCTTCTGTCCGCTCCCTCGCCTCCGCCTCTCGTGATCCGAGGGGCCCCAGGCCGAGGCCCCTGAAGTTGGCGGGAGCCGGAGGGGGCGGGCCACCAGGGGACAGGGAGAGCTGAGCTAGGAGAGGCGCGCGCGGCGCTCAAACTCGCGCCGCCTTTAGCTCACGAGCGAGCCCCACCCTCCCCGTCACCGAAGGCGCCCAGCCAATGGGCGAGCCGGACAGGCCGGGCTCGCCAGCGAGGGATCGGGAGGGGGGAGCCACGCGCGGGGGAGGGGAAATCGAAGGCGGGCTGCCCTTGACTGACAGCTGCCCGCAGCCAATCCCCCGTGCGGCCCCTCCGCTCTCGCCTCGGCCGGGCTCTGTTCTACGTCCCGCCTTCTCTTCCTCCCCCCCCCGCCCCCCTCCGACTCCGTCCTGAGCGTCCCGCCCCGCCTCCCCTCCCCCACTCTGCGGGCAAATCACTGCTGGAGAGAGGCGGGGGCCGCCGCGGCAGGCTCGTGTGGAGTCTTGAGGCGGGACTGACGGGCGCCCGGGCCAATGAGAGGTAGGCTGGTGGCGCGGCTGGGGCCGGGGCCGACCAATGGGCGCGCGGCCTGGGGGCGGAGGCCCAGGTTCCAAACGCTCCGCGGCGCCATGGGCTGAAAACTCAACCGAGATGGAATCTCCCAGTCTGAACCGGTTTCAACCGGTTCCGAGTTTGAGGCTCTAGGAGGAGGGGGGAGAAGCGGCTGCAGCGGCCGCGGCAAGGAGCAGCGGGAGCTTCAGCACCAGCGAGAGCAACAGTCGCTACAGCCCCGGCGGCCGCGCCTGCCCCAGCCTTTGCTGCAGCAGTCGTGCAACCATCCCGAGGGGGAGGGGGGAACCACCAGTCGCCGAGGAGCACGCGGAGGGGGGAAAGTTTAGGCGAGCCCGGGTGGGGAGCCGGCGCCGGAGCGGCGTGAGCGAGCGAGCGAGCCAGCGGGCGGGCGGGCGAGCCTTGTGTGGTAGGGGGAGCCGGACTGCAACTGGCGGCAGCGCGGCCCCGGCCGGCCGGACTCGCGCCGCTGCTCCCGCCGCCGCCGCCTGTGGCTGGAGGGTCTTGGGCTCCGTCTCCGGACCGGCCCGCTCCCCTCCCCCTTCCTGCCCTCCCCAGCCGGGCGGGAGCATTCATCCCTCGGATTAATTCTCCTTTTCGGTGGGGCGCGCGCGTGTGAGTGCGTGAGTGTGTGTGCTGGGTGGAGTTGTCCCTGGAATAGTAAATATTGAGCTTTTTTTTTTTGGCCCTTCTCCGTTTTTTTTAAATTTCTTTTTTTATTAAAGGTGGGAAACTGTGAAACCCACCTTGATCTCGTCCCTTCTCCCTCCTCCCCACCTTCCCTCGCCCCAAGCCCGGACAAGGAAGCAAGAAGCAGTTGGTTGAATTTCTGGGTAAGTCGGCCGTGAGCTCGGGGCCGAGGGTCGGGCGGCGGCGCGGCCGGCGTGAGGCGAGGCGGGCGGGCGGGCGGCGGGCGCGGGGCCCTCGGCGGAGCCTGCGATTGAATGGAAGCGCTTCTGTCGCTCGGCGATGGAGGCGGGGAGGTGGCCGCGGGAGGGGAGCGCTTGCTGGGTCATTGGCGTGTGCGGGTGGCGGCGGAGGACGGCGGGGAGCGTGGTAGTGAGGCAGAGCCCCTGCGCGTGGGTTGATGGGCTTTCCCGGTCCAAAGGGCTGGGGAGAGTTGGGGCGATCTCGGGAACGTCTCTGTAAATTATTAGGAGTGGAAGTTTCCAGAAATATTTAGTGCAGCAGCATTGAAACGTCCGCCTGCATCACGTGGCCCCCTTGGTGGCGAGCTTGGGATGGGGGAGGGAGGGGCTACCGAGTCCCTTCTGCTGGTGGGGAAACTCGAAAGCCTGGCTTTTTGTTGCTGGTTTGTGGTGGAACAAGAAGTAGGCACGGTGGGTTAATTTTTTTTTCTCTTCGAGGATCTGTAAGTGGGTTTCAGGTTGTAGGGTGTTTTTTTGTTTTCGCCCAGGGCTCATGTGTCTTGTTGGCGGAATCATTCACTGCCGGTCGTGGCCAGTGAATGATGCCCTCCCAGATCCTCCCTCTAGCCTCTTGAGTTTGGGGTGGCGAGAGGAAGTGGTGGTAGTCGAGGGTGCACTAAGCACTCGCCGAGGCGGGACCTCGGATCACTCGGAGGACATGCTGCATAGAGAATGGGGCGGTGAACTTAAGGCGCCGGGTCTGAATGCCTCCTCCGAGCATGGGCGGGGTGACTGCGTGCTCCTGGGAGCTATAGTTAGAAGTGCTGAGAGTCGTTCGGGTGGGAAGCCAGGGGAGGGCGGGCCCTTCCTAGTGAGGCGTGTTTCTTGCTGAATGAAGCAGGCGATTGCCCACACGCCGAAGTGGCAGTCTTTTGTAGCGTCTTGTTTCTGAGCTGATGTGAAGTTAACTTCAAGCAGTGGTTGGGATTTTCTGGGTTTTAGGTGGCATCTGGCAGGTAGTGTGTCTCTGCTTGGAGTGGCATTGAAGAGACAGCGGCAGTCACTTGTAGAGTCACAGCATTGCTGGATGGTTTCCTGCTGAACGAAATCCAGTGAGTGGAATTTAGGATTAGAGAACACTCTCCCTCCAAAGCTGTTTACTCAGTGCGTGATCTTAGGCTGGTAGTGGGAAGTATGCTTTGGAGGCTGTTTGATTTGAGCTACTGAATGTGCTTGGTACTGACCACAAAGCAGCCATTTCTGGGTTACCTGTAGTTGAAGGATAGGTAGGTAGGTAGGTCATCCACAAGTTCTGATGATGACCAACAACCTTAGATTGAACCCCTCTCTCCATGAGACTAGCTAGCATCCAAACTCTTAAAGATGACCAACTTGAAAATGAAACTTGAGGGACAGTTGACTGATAATTATTAAATGTAAATTGTGGTATTGCTGAGAAAAAGTTGATTGAAATTTTTAACCATAAAGTCGAAAATTCTCTTTTAAGCTGTAAAAGTTATGTCCCTTGAAAGTAGTGGAAACAGCCATTTGTTTATGGAATTTATTTTGTTTCATAAATTAGTATTTAGATCTGTTTCTGTTTTGAGGCGCTGTCTCACTGTGTACCCCAGACTGGCCTTGGTGCTTTCACATTTTTGAGGTTAAAGATTGCTAGCCCTTTCAACTCTTGCAGGGGATTTGTTTTGTTTGAGCCTCACTGTCGATGAGGCTGCTGGCCTGGGTGTTAATCTGCCTTTCACCTTCCAAGAGCTTGGATTGCCAGCACAGTGTGATGCCAGTGCCAGGCAGTGTCTTTATTTTTACAATAGTGTATTTTTTAAGCATTTCTTTACTTATGTGACAGAATGTTTGAACCTTATGTATATGAGTGCTCTGTTTTCCTGTGAATGCCTCCATGAGAGAAGAGGGCATCCGATCCCATTATATAGGTGGTTGCTGGGAATTGAACTCGAGGACTTCTCAGAGAGCAACCAGTGAGTGCTCTTAACCACTGAGAGTCTTGACCTGATTTAATTACTTGAGAGAGACTACAAACTCTGTGTAGGTGAGGGTGGTCTTGATCTGATTCTCAAGAACACTGGGATTACAGATACATATAACCAACCACCCAGGTTTCAAACCCCAGGGAGGACTTCATGCATAGTAGAACACTCTACTGAGCCAAGCCTAATCCCTTGACTTATTGTAACTAATATGTATTTTAATGAAACTTCTGCATTAAAATTGAAGTACCATCAGCACTACAGATAAATATGAAATTAAATAATACAAATAAATAAAATGTAGAAAATGCTGGCTTTATCTGTGTTTTGAGACACTCTCACTGTGTGGCCTTGACTGGGTTGAAAGCTTGTGGGTGACCATACCTGGCCTTGTTTTTTACTCAGGGTCTCTGCAGTCCAAGATGTCCTGGAATTCACATCTCCACCTTCACCTCCTAGATACGACTAAACTACCAGGCCCCATTTGTACTGCTGGCTTCACCTTTCTGGGTGGCTCATAATCACTAACTCCAGCTCAGGTGCAGTCTGACATCACTGGCCTCTTTGGGCACCTGCACTCAGTCATACAAACACATACAGAATTAAGAAATAGGATCTTGGGGTTGGAGAGATGGCTCAGTGGTTAAGAGCACTGACTGTTCTTCCAAAGGACATGGGTTCAATCCCAGCACCCACATGGCAGCTCACAACTGTCTGTAACTACAAGATCTGACACCCTCACAGACATACATGCAGGCAATGCACATAATGAAAAAAAAGTAAAAAAAATTTTTAAAAAGAAATGTGATCTTAAAATCACAACTTTCTTACCCAGTTGTTCAAAAACTCTAGTCAGATCCTGGAAGATTTCTAAACACTGCTCTAAAAAGTGTCATGGATATACTTAAGGCATCCTCTTTAAATGATGTACAGAATTTGTTTAAATTTGAGCTAGAGGCTCACTCCTGTAGTCAGTGTCTGGAAGTTGAGGCAGGAGGATTTCCTCATAAGTGATTAACACAGGCAGCTCTATCCTTACTTGTATAGAGCTGCTATACTGCTCAGGCACCTGTCCAATCCTGGCCTGTAATCCCAGAAGGATGACAAGTTCAAGGGTTTCCTGTGCTAGAGAGCTAGCAACTTATACTTATGAGCCCCTATCTGGAAATAAAGCCAAGAGGTGGAGGGATAGCTCAGTGATGGTGTGTTTTGTCTGTGAAAAGGTGGCAGAATGCTTAATTGTGTACACTCAAGGTAAGAGGTCAATCTGTGGGGATCAGGTCTCCCATCATGGAAGGGGGTCCTTTGGATTGAACTGTGGTTACTTGGCTGCAAGTGCATTAGCAACTGAGGTATTTTGTTAACCCCTATTGTCCAGAATTATACTTTTTCTGTTGCCTTCTTTTTGTTTGGGAGCAGTATTTATTATGTGACTCTGGATGTCCTGGAATTAACTCTGTAGACCAGGTGGCTTCACAGAGCTTTACCTGCCTCTTACCCCCTGGCTTTCATTTCACCACCAAGCCCAGCCTTATGGGTGGGTGGGTGGGTTGGTTGGTGTTTTTTTTTGTTTGTTTGTTTTTTTGAGACAGGGTTTTCTGTGTAGCCCTGGCTGTCCTGGAACAAGCTCCTATAGACCAGGTTTTTCTGTGTAGCCCTGGCTGTCCTGGAACTAGCTCCTATAGACCAGGCTGGCC